ATAACGAGAATTATTATTCCTAGTAAATCATACTTCCTGCCATGGGTCTATTTAGAAACAGACTGCTCAGGTGGCACTGGTGTGAGGAAAAGCAATGAGCCCACCAGTTATCTTTATGCAGTTTTGGGCCAGTTCATTAGCTGCAGCAAGACCTGACAGAATTCTGATAGAATTTTTATTTTACAGCTAATATCAGATGAAATTGGTAATAATCCATTACTTTCTCATTGTATTGTGACTTCAGACTACCTTTTTAAGTTGATGGTCAGCTTATATTGTACACTGAAATGTATCAAATTAATATTACTATTAATCATAATAATTAATATATGTATCTGTAATCCTGTAAATCTCTATGTTTTCCTAACAATTAGAAATTCACAAAAAAGGACATCTAACGATTAAGCTTTTATTTGTTGGACTCAAAGCATTTTAAGCACTGTGTACTTAAAATGAGGTAAAGAGGTTTAAATCTGAGAAAAAGCATTCAGTATACCTTAAATTCATGCCGCAGCATGTACATTCATTCTTGTTTCTTGTTTCACAGTGTATTCATTGCACAGACTAGAGCACCAGCTGTTGCTGTAAAGCACTGGTGCCCACATTAGAGCAGCACTGACAAACTCTGTTTCCTTTCTTTCTGACAGCGGTATGTGACTTCCAGCCACAAGAGCTACGAGCCCCCTTCTACAGCCACAGGAGCCACAGGTGGGCGTTTGGAACAGAACTCCAGTGTGGGGTTAGTGCAGCTCACATCAGATATGCATGTGGAAGTTAGTAAAACTATACTGGGCAAATCCAGTTTTGTTTTAAAATCTGTACACATTCCAAACTGCTGTCTTACAGTAATAAAAAAACTACATTTGCAACCTCCTAAAACTCAGGTATAGCATTACAATAATTTAAATAATGGCTTATTCAGTCTATTAAAATAAAGGATAGAGGTCTACGATAATCCAATATATTAGACTTTTTAAAGAAAACTACAATTTAACAATAATGCCAAAGGGTTGGAGAAAGCATGTTGCCTGCCTTATCAAAAGCCTCATTAACATACTGTAAATAGTAGTTCTGTGAATTTTTTAACACCGGGTAGTGTATACAGCACACATACCAAACTATTTAAATAGTCTTTCCACTAATCGAAACACATTTAAGCATACTCATGTCCATCATCACGCTGGTTAAAAGAATATGCTGCTTTTAAGGTGTTTTCTTGATCACATGCCTTATAAAAGAACAGGCAGGTTAAAAGCTATAAGATATAAGATACAAGCTTCATGAATAATAATTGGGGCCAGATTAAATGGTTTCATTACTGTTGATGGCAATTCGCTCTGGTGCCTCACAGCTCTTGTTTCTGGGTTTGATTCTGGAGTTTGCCTGTCCTCCTCATGTTCATAGGGGTTTTCTTCAGGTGCTCTGGTTTCCTCCTACATCCCTTTGACATGCTGCGTAGGTGTGTGTGTAGCCTGTGACAGACTGGTGTCCCATTCAGGGTGCAGTCCCACCTTGCACACTGTGCTTGTAGGACAGGCTCTGAATTGCCATAATCCCTTACCGAGAGCAAGTGGCTGTTCTGACACTGTAATGATCAATTTGATTACGTGGCCAAAAATGCTAAAAATGTATCAGTGTGATGAAGGAAAATAGAAGGTTTGAGTACAGATTTGTTTTCATATGTTGTAATGTCTCTATGAAGAGTGTGGAGGTAAACCGCACTGATGTGCACACTAGCTTCATCAGTGCAATTTGCCTGTTTAGAAGGTCTTTTAATCAGTCTGGTTTATCTGTGGGGTGCAGTGGTTCGCAGTGCTGCCTCACAGAGCTGGTGCAGTGGGTATAGTTCTGATCCTGGAGTACTATCTGTGTGGAGTCTGTATGTTCTCCACATGTTTGGGTGGGTTTTAGCCAGGTACTCTGGTTTCCTCCCACAGCCGAAAGACATGCTGGTGGGTTAATTGGCTTCTGGGAAAACTGGCCCTGGTGTGTACGTGTGCGTGTCTGTGTGTCTATCCTGTGATGGACTGGCAACCCATTCAGGGTGGATCCTGGCTTGTGACCATGCTTGCCGGGATATGCTCTGCTATATACAGTATACATGTTATATATATGGGATATACATTTGTTTACATATGCACACGGGTACAAATACTACTAGACTGTCATGGCTATCACCACTAACACACACAGGAAAAAATAAAGAAGCCTATTTGGGATATGCTCCCCAGCGACCTTGAATTGGAAGAAGAAGCTAGAAAATTTATGGGTGATTTAGCTGTGTGCTTGTGTGCCTGTGTGCCCTCCAGTGGTCATGACAGGTAACCACACAGGCTTTTGTGCTGTAATAGAATTTCTTTGTGTCCTGCGAATTCCATCCGTTTTATTCATTTTCAGAAAGCCTCCTATTCCTATTATCCAGAAAATTCCAATGGAAATTATTCTGGCATTAAAAGATGTCCAGGAAAATATCTTAACCAGAAACTTCTCTGCTCAAGATAATCTCCCCATTCCACTAGAGCTCAATAATTCCATACGGCTGGAGAATACAAGCATCAATAATTATTTCAATTAGGGAGCTGCGTCAGCATGCGCAGGCTGCAAAGGATTATTCCCTGCTGAAAAGAAAAGAAACCCGAAGAAGGCTCCACAGCCGAAAGGTTGTGCCTCTTTTCTTTTCAACACGGAACAAAATCTTTACTTGTTCCATCAAGGATTATGTTAATGTCCAAACACAGACTTGAAAAGTCATTTGACTTCTATCATGAGCTCGTTCTTCTCTGTCTCAGAATAAATTAAGGATGTAATGTAAGACTACGCATAAAATCAGTTTTGAAATAAAAGACAAAGAGTCATGACAAATTGTTCCTGAATTGCTGTACAGACTTATATCAGTACTGCAATAAATTCCCACACTTTAGCAAGTATAAAATTCCTCTACAAGGAAACAGAGCTTTACAAATCCAGCACTAGATGCTCTTTAAAATGTCAAAAAGGTATATAGGTAGAGAGGGATGTTGTTTTAAAAACTACAGCTGATAAAATCATGTTTTTTCATTAAAACGTTATAGGCATATTTATAACCAGTGTTTTGTTAGACTGCATATCTGTGACAGTAAAAGGATGGAATTAACTACACAAGTAAACAACACTGACTTAAAACATTCTGTACCATATGCCATTGTTTATTCTTTTTCGCCTTTAATCTCTTTCTGATATAATTAAAAAAACTGTAACAGGGAAATCAAGAATTGAGAATCTAGTTTTGGAAAATAGTTTCTGACATTCTCAGGATGTTTAGTAAAATTGCAGCTGTAGTGAATCTGATTTAGTGATCTACTAATCAGGTAACAGTATGGAGATATTAATAAAATGGTGGGGTTCTAAGTAAACCTGGTTTCAGTGTTTATTTATTAATCAACACATCTCCCAAATAAATGTATTTACTCCTCTCTATGTCCTAATTATGATTTTTGAGTCCTAATCAGAGGAAAGGTTTATAGAAACATGCGATTTGCCTGTGTTTTTGAATTATTACGTCACATGTCTGCCATTTCTCTATAACAAATAAAGGAGAAACAGATTTAATTATTATCAAATGGAAACAGCTCACAGTAGTTTTAAAATGGTGTTACTGTACATGGTCAGAAATAAACACTGGAAGCCAGAAACCCTATTTACTGTATAATCCTCAAAAAGTTTCACGCCAAAAAGTCGAACAGTACAGTGATTGCGCAGCCTGATGTGTTTTTTTGAACACTTGCATGATATAACCCTTGCCTGTGTCTGGCATATGAATTTTGACACTTCAAGCTGAGCCCAAATATTAAAAGGGTATTTTAAAGCATTGCCTTACACTTTACACTTTATATACTAGTCATTGTATACAGACCTCAAATAACTCTTTCAATAGCTCACATATCGCTCCCTTCATTCATCTTGAAACATCTAATGTGAATTTAAAAAGCTTTTTCTTTCATTTCACTTTATGCCACATTTGTAACCCTGTATAGGATGATCTTCAGTTGTGCATGCAAGTCTTGAAGGTGATGTTCTATCAAACAATAAAATAACCTAGCTTTTGAGATCAAATCTGTGGCAGTAGCAGTAGCAGTTCGTAAGGGAAGGCAATTTCCTAAGATTCCTCTCTTTAAGCACCACTTACCACTGCCTCTTACCATTACCTTACACCACTGCTTAACAAGGGAAAAAGGCTTGCTAATTACTGGAATGGATTTTTTATTTTCAGATTCAGTGATTTACACACTAAAATGAGCAGTGGAAAAGATTAATTGTCACAGGTGCACTACTTCTGTATATTTAGGCTCCATAATGACATAAATATATAAGTCAATTCACATAATAATAATAAGAAGAAGAAGAATAAGAATAATTATAATTGCTTACACTTATATAGCGCTTTTCTGGACACTCCACTCAAAGCGCTTTACAGGTAATGGGGATCCCCTCCACCACCACCAGTTTGAAGCCCCACCTGGATGATGCGACAGCAGCCATAGTGTGCCAGAACGCTCACCACACACCGGGTATCAGTGGGGAGGAGGGCAGAGTGATGAAGCCAATTCATTACAGCAATTGGTAGCAAAAACTATAAGTACAGTACATTATCATCCTAAACTTAAGTTTTAAGGGGATTCTGACCTGTTCAGGCGGAGGAATCTTCAGAAACACTTTAAACTAACTTATGCTTGCTGTCCACCAGTACTATAGACATAAAAGTCTTCAGTCACATGTTTTCTACTATGTTAGGCAGTAACATAGAGAAACTCAACTATTTAATGTGATCAAGTCAATGAACCCAAGCTCTGATCAGCACCCACAAGTTCAGTTCAAAGTTGTTTTTACATTAATAAAACCTACAAATATTTATTCTAGTATATATTGTACAGGTTTATATCTGAACAAGACTGTGAAACCAAAGACAGACCCTGTCTGTAATATCTCCTATCTGTCAAAGCAGGAAGCACAGAAAAGAGGTGTTTGATTTGAAACTGATTTTATTCTACAGAATTAGAGGAAGGGCAGAGAGAAAGCAGAGGTAGACTAAAGCACAGCAGACTAGAGGTTTTCAGAAAGGTCCTTCTGAGAGCTTCACTCTTCATCAAGCCCTTTCTGTCAGAGAGAGAGGGAGATGACAGAGAGAGACAGAGAGAGGAGAGAAAAGACCTGGTGAGTGTTTGGATACCATGTAGCTGCTGTTATTACCAGAAGAACTAAGGGAGTTAATCGGCTCTGCACTGTGTTAGAGCTGCGTCTGGGCTCAGTTAGTGTTTAGGAGCTGGGAGGCATGACAACATGTCATTAACAACTATTAATGTCATATTAGGTAATTAACAAAGAGCTGTGTATCTCGTAAGATGAAAGTACGTACTAAATTCAGACTCGTAAATCTTACATTTATTATATAAATTAAAACAAATAATTTTAATAAAACAAATGTGGATTTTCTTGGCTCACTGCTAATAACTATTATTACTATACCTACCATATTTAGCAGCACCAAGAAACATTCTTCATGTAAAATAATTGCTTGGATAATAATGTACTGTTTACTTCTGCCATTTTGAAAGCCCAGACCAGTTATTGGGTTGAAAGTGCACAAACTCACAACACCTCAACTGTCACCCTCTTCTGACATTGCCAAATCGCAAGTCAAGAACTGAAGAGGGAACTGCACTTTCCACTCTATTGCCCAGTTCAAGATGTCTTCATCTTCATCTCTTCACATGTTCTTTGATAATCGAAACTTAAACTTCTCCATTAATATATCTCAGAAGGTATTAAATATATTGGTATTCTACTGAGAAATGTTAGAATGACTCCATCTCATGGCAAAAGGTATAACTGTCATGTCAGTACTAATGGGTTAACAGTACAAGCAACATAGACAGTTTCAGCAAAGAGGTTAAAAAGTCCTAGAGATGCTGTTGTCTGTTAAAAATAATTACTTGAGTATAATTCCTTCAGACATTAATAATCCTTATACATAACTTATTCACACATACAGTGCCTTGCGAAAGTATTCGGCCCCCTTGAACTTTTCAACCTTTTGCCACATTTCAGGCTTCAAACATAAAGATATACATTTTTTATTTTATGTGAAGAATCACCAACAAGTGGGACACAATTGTGAAGTGGAACGAAATCTATTGGATTTTTGAAACTTTTTTAACTAATAAAAA